ACGAGAGATGTCACGCCATGAAGAAACAAATTAGTATAACTCAATGAAATCCAGTCTGATCAGTACCAGACTTTACAGGCATGATGTCAGACCCGCCCTGAACAGATTGATGTGCCCATTGTCGGGAATACGTACAGCGCCACCTAGTGGCAACAGAAAATGTCACGTCTTACACTTTGTTGTACTGATTTTCACAGGTTCATTGTGGCCACCTCAAAAGCGGTGAATATCACCATCAGTCCTTCATGATGCTTCAGTGCAAAAATTGTGACTTTAAACTGAACGGCGCACCCTGGTGGCAACGCGGTTCATCATGAAAGATGAAGTGGCTTTTGAGGGGCTTGGAAAGTTTATAGAGGCTTGAAATTTGGCACACACCTCCAAATGGATGAAGGCATTGTGGTTATGTAACCATTTTCCTTGAATAGCGCAAAATGGCTCCACAGCGCCCCCTACAATATTTCAAAACATCAGCCCCTGCTCTGTGTTTCATCTATGAGTCTGAAACCTGGTAAGCTTATGTAAGATATCAAGATGTACAAAAAAGTCTCTTGGAGCAATATCCCAAATCCAACAGGAAGTCAGCCATTTTAAAATTAATGTGTAATTTTGACGACATTTTCCCCCCTTTTCAGGTCTCATACTTTGACGAACTCCTCCAAGGGATTTCATCATATTGAAGCATTCTTCAGTGTGTAGAATCTAAAGACCTTTGTGATGTTAAATTGCGAAGCTTTTTCCGTTCAGGGAAACGGGGTGGTCATGGCGGCACGTAGAGTTTCAATCACTCGCAAAAAGCAGTAATCTGCTGTCACTAAAAAAAACAATGTCCAATCTCTCCCAAAGCTCATAGGCGTGATGAGACTCCAGCTCGGAAATGTTTGTTATGCCATTTGTACATAATGGTTAGAGTGCCACCTAGTGGAACGACTAACTAATCATGAATGAATGAGTTGAAATGTTAGCTGGTGGTTAAATGCATGAATTCCATCAATGTGACATCAGATCGGAGGTGCTGGTTTTAGGTGTTGGGCGTGGCTCGACGCGCTGGGGGTGCGAGGGCCCTCATAACGCTGCTTGCAGCTTTAATTAGGGCCCGAGCACTGACAGTGCGAAGGCCCTATTGTAATTGCTCTGTTTATTATTATTATTATTATTATTATTTCGGCAAATGAATTGGCCGTTTGAGGGCCTAAACATGCTCGAAAACTCATGAAATTTTGCACACGCGTCAGGTCTGGTGAAAATTTACGTATTTTAATGTTCTCAGACATGGCCAGGGAAAATTAGCTCAGTAGCGCCACCTAGAAAAATGAAAAACGCGAGCCCCCGGTATGGGTATGGCCTACATGTTTGAAAGTCGGTACACCTATATAACGTTCAGAGTCGAACAAAAAAGTCTATTATGGCAATGTCCTAAACCCAACAGGAAGTCCGCCATTTTGGATTGAAGGTGACATTTTGGCTCTGATTTTACCGTTTCCATGCCTCGAACTTTAACGAACTCCTCCTTGGGATTTGGTCGTATAAGCTTCATCTTTGGTCAGTCTCAACTACACCCTTGTGCCATGTTAAATTGCGGAGCTTTTGAGTTTTCACAATACTATGAGGCCGTGGCGCCATGGCGAATTTCGATGACTCGCCATGAAAATCTTATTGCCTCTCATTTTGTCATACATTTTCTGACCTTGACCAAAGTGAACACATATGATAAGGCTCCACCCCTGAACATATTTCAACTGCCATATTTGACATCAAGGACAGCGCCACCTAGTGGGAACAGGAAATGTCATGTTTTACACTTTGGGGTACAGTATAGTGATGGGTGACATCTGCAGCCTCAAATTTCTCCAGGAAAGCCTTAAGGAGTTGGTCTTGGGTTACAGTGAAAACTGTGACTTTTCGCAAAAGGGTGTGACCCCAGCGGCATGGCGAACTTTGATGTCACGCCATGAAGAAACAAATTAGTATAACTCAATGAAATCCAGTCTGTTCAGTACCAGACTTTACAGGCATGATGTCAGACCCGCCCTGAACAGATTGATGTGCCCATTGTCGGGAATACGTACAGCGCCACCTAGTGGCAACAGAAAATGTCACGTCTTACACTTTGTTGTACTGATTTTCACAGGTTCATTGTGGCCACCTCAAAAGCGGTGAATATCACCATCAGTCCTTGATGATGCTTTAGTGCAAAAATTGTGACTTTAAACTGAACGGCGCACCCTGGTGGCAACGCGGTTCATCATGAAAGATGAAGTGGCTTTTGAGGGGCTTGGAAAGTTTATAGAGGCTTGAAATTTGGCACACACCTCCAAATGGATGAAGGCATTGTGGTTATGTAACCATTTTCCTTGAATAGCGCAAAATGGCTCCACAGCGCCCCCTACAATATTTCAAAACATCAGCCCCTGCTCTGTGTTTCATCTATGAGTCTGAAACCTGGTAAGCTTATGTAAGATATCAAGATGTACAAAAAAGTCTCTTGGAGCAATATCCCAAATCCAACAGGAAGTCAGCCATTTTAAAATTAATGTGTAATTTTGACGACATTTTCCCCCCTTTTCAGGCCTCATACTTTGACGAACTCCTCCAAGGGATTTCATCATATTGAAGCATACTTCAGTGTGTAGAATCTAAAGACCTTTGTGATGTTAAATTGCGAAGCTTTTTACATTCAGGGAAACGGGGTGGTCATGGCGGCACGTGGAGTTTCAATCACTCGCCAAAAAGCAGTAATCTGCTGTCACTCAAAAACACAATGTCCAATCTCTCCCAAAGCTCATAGGCGTGATGAGACTCCAGCTCGGAAATGTTTGTTATGCCATTTGTACATAATGGTTAGAGTGCCACCTAGTGGAATGACTAACTAATCATGAATGAATGAGTTGAAATGTTAGCTGGTGGTTAAATGCATGAATTCCATCAATGTGACATCAGATCGGAGGTGCTGGTTTTAGGTGTTGGGCGTGGCTCGACGCGCGGGGTGCGAGGGCCCTCATAACGCTGCTTGCAGCTTTAATTATTATTATTATTATTCACCCCAAACAAGGGCCTTTTTGAGGGCCTAAACATGCTCAAAAACTCATGAAATTTTGCACACATGCCAGGTCTGGTGAAAAATTTTGTATTTTAATGGTTTTACATATGAGCACTGGGAAATGGCTCTACAGCGCCACCTATGCCTTGTTAAATGCAGCCCTACGACCACATCGTTTGAGCTACATGTATGAAATTTGGCACACATGTGTATCATGCCAAGACGAACAAAAAAGTCTGTGGGCCCATTGATGCAAACCCAACAGGAAGTCCGCCATTTGGAAGAGAAGGTGACATTTTGGCTCTAATTTTGCCATTTCCATGCCTCGAACTTTTGCGAACTCCTCCTTGGGGTTTGATTTCATAACCTTCATATTTGGTCAGTGCCAACTACACCCTTGTGCCATGTTAAATTGCGGAGCTTTTGAGTTTTCACCATACCATGAGGACGTGGCGCCACGGCGAATTTCGATGACTCGCCATGAAAATCTTATTGCCTCTCATTCTGTCATACATTTTCTGACCTTGACCAAAGTGAACACATATGATAAGGCTCCACCCCTGAACATATTTCAACTGCCATATTTGACATCAAGGACAGCGCCACCTAGTGGGAACAGGAAATGTCATGTTTTACACTTTGGGGTACAGTATAGTGATGGGTGACATCTGCAGCCTCAAATTTCTCCAGGAAAGCCTTAAGGAGTTGGTCTTGGGTTACAGTGAAAACTGTGACTTTTCGCAAAAGGGTGTGACCCCAGCAGCATGGCGAACTTTGATGTCACGCCATGAAGAAACAAATTAGTATAACTCAATGAAATCCAGTCTGTTCAGTACCAGACTTTACAGGCATGATGTCAGACCCGCCCTGAACAGATTGATGTGCCCATTGTCGGGAATACGTACAGCGCCACCTAGTGGCAACAGAAAATGTCACGTCTTACACTTTGTTGTACTGATTTTCACAGGTTCATTGTGGCCACCTCAAAAGCGGTGAATATCACCATCAGTCCTTGATGATGCTTTAGTGCAAAAATTGTGACTTTAAACTGAACGGCGCACCCTGGTGGCAACGCGGTTCATCATGAAAGATGAAGTGGCTTTTGAGGGGCTTGGAAAGTTTATAGAGGCTTGAAATTTGGCACACACCTCCAAATGGATGAAGGCATTGTGGTTATGTAACCATTTTCCTTGAATAGCGCAAAATGGCTCCACAGCGCCCCCTACAATATTTCAAAACATCAGCCCCTGCTCTGTGTTTCATCTATGAGTCTGAAACTTGGTAAGCTTATGTAAGATATCAAGATGTACAAAAAAGTCTCTTGGAGCAATATCCCAAATCCAACAGGAAGTCAGCCATTTTAAAATTAATGTGTAATTTTGACGACATTTTCCCCCCTTTTCAGGCCTCATACTTTGACGAACTCCTCCAAGGGATTTCATCATATTGAAGCATTCTTCAGTGTGTAGAATCTAAAGACCTTTGTGATGTTAAATTGCGAAGCTTTTTACGTTCAGGGAAACGGGGTGGTCATGGCGGCACGTAGAGTTTCAATCACTCGCAAAAAGCAGTAATCTGCTGTCACTAAAAAACACAATGTCCAATCTCTCCCAAAGGTCGCAGGTGTGATGAGACTCGAGCTTGGAAATGTTTGTTATGCCATTTGTACATAATGGTTAGAGCGCCACCTAGTGGAATGACTAACTAATCATGAATGAATGAGTTGAAATGTTAGCTGGTGGTTAAATGCATGAATTCCATCAATGTGACATCAGATCGGACGTGCTGGTTTTAGGTGTTGGGCGTGGCTCGACGCGCCGGGGTGCGAGGGCCCTCATAACGCTGCTTGCAGCTTTAATTATTATTATTATTATTATTCACCCCAAACAAGGGCCTTTTTGAGGGCCTAAACATGCTCAAAAACTCATGAAATTTTGCACACATGCCAGGTCTGGTGAAAAATTTTGTATTTTAATGGTTTTACATATGAGCACTGGGAAATGGCTCTACAGCGCCACCTATGCCTTGTTAAATGCAGCCCTACGACCACATGGTTTGAGCTACATGTATGAAATTTGGCACACATGTGTATCATGCCAAGACGAACAAAAAAGTCTGTGGGCCCATTGACGCAAACCCAACAGGAAGTCCGCCATTTGGAAGAGAAGGTGACATTTTGGCTCTAATTTTGCCATTTCCATGCCTCGAACTTTTGCGAACTCCTCCTTGGGGTTTGATTTCATAACCTTCATATTTGGTCAGTGCCAACTACACCCTTGTGCCATGTTAAATTGCGGAGCTTTTGAGTTTTCACCATACCATGAGGACGTGGCGCCACGGCGAATTTCGATGACTCGCCATGAAAATCTTATTGCCTCTCATTCTGTCATACATTTTCTGACCTTGACCAAAGTGAACACATATGATAAGGCTCCACCCCTGAACATATTTCAACTGCCATATTTTACATCAAGGACAGCGCCACCTAGTGGGAACAGGAAATGTCATGTTTTACACTTTGGGGTACAGTATAGTGATGGGTGACATCTGCAGCCTCAAATTTCTCCAGGAAAGCCTTAAGGAGTTGATCTTGGGTTACAGTGAAAACTGTGAGTTTTCGCGAAAGGGTGTGACCCCAGCAGCATGGCGAACTTTGATGTCACGCCATGAAGAAACAAATTAGTATAACTCAATGAAATCCAGTCTGATCAGTACCAGGCTTTACAGGCATGATGTCAGACCCGCCCTGAACAGATTGATGTGCCCATTGTCGGAAATACGGACAGCGCCACCTAGTGGCAACAGGAAATGTCATGGCTTTAATTTTGTTGTACTGATTTTCACAGGTTCATCGTGGCCACCTCAGAAGCAGTGAATATCACCATCAGTCCCTCGTGATGCTTCAGTGCAAAAATTGTGACTTTAAACTGAACGGCGCACCCTGGTGGCAACGCGGTTCATCATGAAAGATGAAGTGGCTTTTGAGGGGCTTGGAAAGTTTATAGAGGCTTGAAATTTGGCACACACCTCCAAATGGATGAAGGCTTTGTTGTCATGTGATCATTTTCATTGAATATCCCAAAATGGCTCCACAGCGCCCCCTACAAAATTTCAAAATTGCAGCCCCTGCTCTGTGTTTTATGTATGAGTCTGAAACGTGGTAATCTTATAGGAGATATCAAGATGTACAAAAAAGTCTCTTGGAGCAATATCCCAAATCCAACAGGAAGTCAGCCATTTTAAAATTAATGTGTAATTTTGACGACATTTTCCCCCCTTTTCAGGCCTCATACTTTGACGAACTCCTCCAAGGGATTTCATCATATTGAAGCATTCTTCAGTGTGTAGAATCTAAAGACCTTTGTGATGTTAAATTGCGAAGCTTTTTCCGTTCAGGGAAACGGGGTGGTCATGGCGGCACGTGGAGTTTCAATCACTCGCCAAAAAGCAGTAATCTGCTGTCACTCAAAAACACAATGTCCAATCTCTCCCAAAGCTCATAGGCGTGATGAGACTCCAGCTCGGAAATGTTTGTTATGCCATTTGTACATAATGGTTAGAGTGCCACCTAGTGGAATGACTAACTAATCATGAATGAATGAGTTGAAATGTTAGCTGGTGGTTAAATGCATGAATTCCATCAATGTGACATCAGATCGGACGTGCTGGTTTTAGGTGTTGGGCGTGGCTCGACGCGCCGGGGGTGCGAGGGCCCTCATAACGCTGCTTGCAGCTTTAATTATTATTATTATTATTATTCACCCCAAACAAGGGCCTTTTTGAGGGCCTAAACATGCTCAAAAACTCATGAAATTTTGCACACATGCCAGGTCTGGTGAAAAATTTTGTATTTTAATGGTTTTACATATGAGCACTGGGAAATGGCTCTAGAGCGCCACCTATGCCTTGTTAAATGCAGCCCTACGACCACATCGTTTGAGCTACATGTATGAAATTTGGCACACATGTGTATCATGCCAAGACGAACAAAAAAGTCTGTGGGCCCATTGACGCAAACCCAACAGGAAGTCCGCCATTTGGACGTGAAGGTGACATTTTGGCTCTAATTTTGCCATTTCCATGCCTCGAACTTTAACGAACTCCTCCTTGGGATTTGGTCGTATAAGCTTCATATTTGGTCAGTGCCAACTACACCCTTGTGCCATGTTAAATTGCGGAGCTTTTGAGTTTTCACAATACCATGAGGCCGTGGCGCCACGGCGAATTTCGATGACTCGCCATGAAAATCTTATTGCCTCTCATTCTGTCATACATTGTCCGATCTGGACCAAAGAGCACACATATGATAAGGCTCCAGCCCTGAACATATTTCAACTGCCATATTTGACGTCAGCGACAGCGCCACCTAGTGGGAACAGGAAATGTCATGTTTTACACTTTGGGGTACAGTATTGTGATGGGTGACATCTGCAGCCTCAAATTTCTCCAGGAAAGGCTTAAGGAGTTGGTCTTGGGGTACAGTGAAAACTGTGACTTTTCACGAAAGGGTGTGACCTCAGCAGCATGGCGAACTTTGATGTCTCGCCATGAAGAAACAAATTAGTATAACTCCATGAAATCCAGTCTGATCAGTACCAGACTTTACAGGCATGATGTCAGACCCGCCCTGAACAGATTGATGTGCCCATTGTCGGAAATACGGACAGCGCCACCTAGTGGCAACAGGAAATGTCATGGCTTTAATTTTGTTGTACTGATTTTCACAGGTTCATCGTGGCCACCTCAAAAGCGGTGAATATCACCATCAGTCCCTCGTGATGCTTCAGTGCAAAAATTGTGACTTTAAACTGAACGGCGCACCCTGGTGGCAACGCGGTTCATCATGAAAGATGAAGTGGCTTTTGAGGGGCTTGGAAAGTTTATAGAGGCTTGAAATTTGGCACACACCTCCAAATGGATGAAGGCTTTGTTGTTATGTAACCATTTTCCTTTAATAGCGCAAAATGGCTCCACAGCGCCCCCTACAATATTTCAAAACATCAGCCCCTGCTCTGTGTTTCATCTATGAGTCTGAAACCTGGTAAGCTTATGTACGATATCAAGATGTACAAAAAAGTCTCTTGGAGCAATATCCCAAATCCAACAGGAAGTCAGCCATTTTAAAATTAATGTGTAATTTTGACGACATTTTCCCCCCTTTTCAGGCCTCATACTTTGACGAACTCCTCCAAGGGATTTCATCATATTGAAGCATTCTTCAGTGTGTAGAATCTAAAGACCTTTGTGATGTTAAATTGCGAAGCTTTTTACATTCAGGGAAACGGGGTGGTCATGGCGGCACGTGGAGTTTCAATCACTCGCCAAAAAGCAGTAATCTGCTGTCACTCAAAAACACAATGTCCAATCTCTCCCAAAGCTCATAGGCGTGATGAGACTCCAGCTCGGAAATGTTTGTTATGCCATTTGTACATAATGGTTAGAGCGCCACCTAGTGGAATGACTAACTAATCATGAATGAATGAGTTGAAATGTTAGCTGGTGGTTAAATGCATGAATTCCATCAATGTGACATCAGATCGGACGTGCTGGTTTTAGGTGTTGGGCGTGGCTCGACGCGCCGGGGGTGCGAGGGCCCTCATAACGCTGCTTGCAGCTTTAATTATTATTATTATTATTATTATTAGGGCCCGAGCACTGACAGTGCGAAGGCCCTATTGTAATTGCTCTGTTTATTATTATTATTATTATTATTATTATTATTATTATTATTCCGGCAAATGAATCGGCTTTTTGAGGGCCTAAACATGCTCGAAAACTCATGAAATTTTGCACACGCGTCAGGTCTGGTGAAAATTTACGTATTTTAATGTTCTCAGACATGGCCAGGGAAAATTAGCTCAGTAGCGCCACCTAGAAAAATGAAAAACGCGAGCCCCCGATATGGGTATGACCTACATGGTTGAAAGTTGGCACACCTATATAACGTTCAGAGTCGAACAAAAAAGTCTATTATGGCAATGTCCTAAACCCAACAGGAAGTCCGCCATTTTGGATTGAAGGTGACATTTTGGCTCTGATTTTACCGTTTCCATGCCTCGAACTTTAACGAACTCCTCCTTGGGGTTTGATTTCATAACCTTCATATTTGGTCAGTGCCAACTACACCCTTGTGCCATGTTAAATTGCGGAGCTTTTGAGTTTTCACAATACTATGAGGCCGTGGCGCCACGGCGAATTTCGATGACTCGCCATGAAAATCTTATTGCCTCTCATTCTGTCATACATTTTCCGATCTGGACAAAAGAGCACACATATGATAAGGCTCCACCCCTGAACATATTTCAACTGCCATATTTAAAATAAAGGACAGCGCCACCTAGTGGGAACAGGAAATGTCATGTTTTACACTTTGGGGTACAGTATAGTGATGGGTGACATCTGCTGCCTCAAATTTCTCCAGGAAAGGCGTAAGGAGTTGGTCTTGGGGTACAGTGAAAACTGTGACTTTTCACGTATGGGTGTGACCTCAGCAGCATGGCGAACTTTGATGTCTCGCCATGAAGAAACAAATTAGTATAACTCAATGAAACCCGGTCTGATCGGTACCAGACTTTACAGGCGTGATGTCAGACCCGCCCTGAACAGATTGATGTACCCATTGTCGGAAATACCCACAGCGCCACCTAGTGGCAACAGGATATGTCATGGCTTTAATTTTGTTGTACTGATTTTCACAGGTTCATCGTGGCCACCTCAAAAGCGGTGAATATCAACATCAGTCCCTCATGATGCTTCAGTGGAAAAATTGTGACTTTAAACTGAACGGCGCACCCTGGTGGCAACGCGGTCCACCATGAAAGATGAAGTGGCTTTTGAGGGGCTTGGAAAGTTTAAAAAGTCTTGAAATTTGGCGCACACCTCCAATGTGCATAAGGCTTTGTTGTTATGTGATCATTTTCATTGAATAGCGCGAAATTGCTCCACAGCGCCCCCTGCAAAATTTCAAAACATCAGCCCCAGCTCTGTGTTTTATGTATGAGTCTGAAACCTGATAAGCTTATAGGAGATATCAAGATGTACAAAAAAGTCTCTTGGAGCAATATCCCAAATCCAACAGGAAGTCAGCCATTTTAAAATTAATGTGCAATTTTGGCAACATTTTCCCCTCTTTTCAGGCATCGTTCTTTGACGAACTCCTCCAAGGGATTTCATCATATTGAACCAATCTCCAGTGTGTGGAATCTAAAGACCTTTCTGATGTTAAATTGCGAAGCTTTTTACGTCCAGGGAAACGGGGTGGTTATGGCGGCACTTAGAGTTTGAATCACTCGCCAAAAAGCAGTAATCTGCTGTCACTCAAAAACACAATGTCCAATCTCTCCCAAACGTCTCAGGTGTGATGAGACTCGAGCTTGGAAGTGTTTGTTATGCCATTTGTACATAATGGTTAGAGTGCCACCTAGTGGAACGACTAGCTAATCATGAATGAATGAGTTGAAATGTTAGCTGGTGGTTAAATGCATGAATTCCATCAATGTGACATCAGATCGGAGGTGCTGGTTTTAGGTGTTGGGCGTGGCTCGACGCGCCGGGGTGCGAGGGCCCTCATAACGCTGCTTGCAGCTTTAATTATTATTATTATTATTCCGGCAAATGAATCGGCTTTTTGAGGGCCTAAACATGCTCGAAAACTCATGAAATTTTGCACACGCGTCAGGTCTGGTGAAAATTTACGTATTTTAATGTTCTCAGACATGGCCAGGGAAAATTAGCTCAGTAGCGCCACCTAGAAAAATGAAAAACGCGAGCCCCCGATATGGGTATGACCTACATGTTTGAAAGTTGGCACACCTATATAACGTTCAGAGTCGAACAAAAAAGTCTATTATGGCAATGTCCTAAACCCAACAGGAAGTCCGCCATTTTGGATTGAAGGTGACATTTTGGCTCTGATTTTACCGTTTCCATGCCTCGAACTTTAACGAACTCCTCCTTGGGGTTTGATTTCATAACCTTCATATTTGGTCAGTGCCAACTACACCCTTGTGCCATGTTAAATTGCGGAGCTTTTGAGTTTTCACAATACTATGAGGCCGTGGCGCCACGGCGAATTTCGATGACTCGCCATGAAAATCTTATTGCCTCTCATTCTGTCATACATTTTCCGATCTGGACAAAAGAGCACACATATGATAAGGCTCCACCCCTGAACATATTTCAACTGCCATATTTAAAATAAAGGACAGCGCCACCTAGTGGGAACAGGAAATGTCATGGCTTTAATTTTGTTGTACTGATTTTCACAGGTTCATCGTGGCCACCTCAAAAGCGGTGAATATCAACATCAGTCCCTCATGATGCTTCAGTGGAAAAATTGTGACTTTAAACTGAACGGCGCACCCTGGTGGCAACGCGGTCCACCATGAAAGATGAAGTTGCTTTTGAGGGGCTTGGAAAGTTTAAAAAGTCTTGAAATTTGGCGCACACCTCCAATGTGCATAAGGCTTTGTTGTTATGTGATCATTTTCATTGAATAGCGCGAAATTGCTCCACAGCGCCCCCTGCAAAATTTCAAAACATCAGCCCCAGCTCTGTGTTTTATGTATGAGTCTGAAACCTGATAAGCTTATAGGAGATATCAAGATGTACAAAAAAGTCTCTTGGAGCAATATCCCAAATCCAACAGGAAGTCAGCCATTTTAAAATTAATGTGCAATTTTGGCAACATTTTCCCCTCTTTTCAGGCATCGTTCTTTGACGAACTCCTCCAAGGGATTTCATCATATTGAACCAATCTCCAGTGTGTGGAATCTAAAGACCTTTGTGATGTTAAATTGCGAAGCTTTTTACGTCCAGGGAAACGGGGTGGTTATGGCGGCACTTAGAGTTTGAATCACTCGCCAAAAAGCAGTAATCTGCTGTCACTCAAAAACACAATGTCCAATCTCTCCCAAACGTCTCAGGTGTGATGAGACTCGAGCTTGGAAGTGTTTGTTATGCCATTTGTACATAATGGTTAGAGCGCCACCTAGTGGAATGACTAACTAATCATGAATGAATGAGTTGAAATGTTAGCTGGTGGTTAAATGCATGAATTCCATCAATGTGACATCAGATCGGAGGTGCTGGTTTTAGGTGTTGGGCGTGGCTCGACGCGCTGGGGGTGCGAGGGCCCTCATAACGCTGCTTGCAGCTTTAATTATTATTATTTCGGCAAATGAATTGGCCGTTTGAGGGCCTAAACATGCTCGAAAACTCATGAAATTTTGCACACGCGTCAGGTCTGGTGAAAATTTACGTATTTTAATGTTCTCAGACATGGCCAGGGAAAATTAGCTCAGTAGCGCCACCTAGAAAAATGAAAAACGCGAGCCCCCGGTATGGGTATGGCCTACAAGTTTGAAAGTCGGTACACCTATATAACGTTCAGAGTCGAACAAAAAAGTCTATTATGGCAATGTCCTAATCCCAACAGGAAGTCCGCCATTTTGGATTGAAGGTGACATTTTGGCTCTGATTTTACCGTTTCCATGCCTTGTACTTTAACGAACTCCTCCTTGGGATTTGGTCCTATAAGCTTCAAATTTGGACAGTGTCAACTACACCCTTGTGCCATGTTAAATTGCGGAGCTTTTGAGTTTTCACAATACTATGAGGCCGTGGCGCCATGGCGAATTTCGATGACTCGCCATGAAAATCTTATTGCCTCTCATTTTGTCATACATTTTCTGACCTTGACCAAAGTGAACACATATGATAAGGCTCCACCCCTGAACATATTTCAACTGCCATATTTGACATCAAGGACAGCGCCACCTAGTGGGAACAGGAAATGTCATGTTTTACACTTTGGGGTACAGTATAGTGATGGGTGACATCTGCAGCCTCAAATTTCTCCAGGAAAGCCTTAAGGAGTTGGTCTTGGGTTATAGTGAAAACTGTGACTTTTCGCAAAAGGGTGTGACCCCAGCAGCATGGCGAACTTTGATGTCACGCCATGAAGAAACAAATTAGTATAACTCAATGAAATCCAGTCTGATCAGTACCAGACTTTACAGGCATGATGTCAGACCCGCCCTGAACAGATTGATGTGCCCATTGTCGGGAATACGGACAGCGCCACCTAGTGGCAACAGGAAATGTCATGGCTTTAATTTTGTTGTACTGATTTTCACAGGTTCATCGTGGCCACCTCAAAAGCGGTGAATATCACCATCTGTCCCTCGTGATGCTTCAGTGCAAAAATTGTGAATTTAAACTGAACGGCGCACCCTGGTGGCAACGCGGTTCACCATGAAAGATGAAGTGGCTTTTGAGGGCTTGGAAAGTTTATAGAGGCTTGAAATTTTGCACACACCTCCAAATGGATGAAGGCTTTGTTGTCATGTGATCATTTTCATTGAATAGCGCGAAATTGCTCCACAGCGCCCCCTACAAAATTTCAAAACCCCAGCCCCTGCTCTGTGTTCTATGTATGAGTCTGAAACCTGGTAAGCTTATTGGAGATATCAAGATGTACAAAAAAGTCTCTTGGAGCAATATCCCAAATCCAACAGGAAGTCAGCCATTTTAAAATTAATGTGTAATTTTGGCAACATTTTCCCCTCTTTCCAGGCACCGTTCTTTGACGAACTCCTCCAAGGGATTTCATCATATTGAACCAATCTCCAGTGTGTGGAATCTAAAGACCTTTGTGATGTTAAATTGCGAAGCTTTTTACGTTCAGGGAAACGGGGTTGTCATGGTGGCACGTGGAGTTTCAATCACTCGCCAAAAAGCAGTAATCTGCTGTCACTCAAAATCTAAATGTCCAATCTCTCCCAAAGGTCGCAGGCGTGATGAGACTCGAGCTTGGAAATGTTTGTTATGCCATTTGTCAGTAATGGTTAGAGCGCCACCTAGTGGGACGACTATAATCATGATTGAATGAGATGAAATGTTAGCTGGTGGTTGAATGCATGAATTTCATCAATGTGACATCAGATCGGAGGTGTTGGTTTTAGGTGTTGGCCGTGGCTCGACGCGCCGGGGGTGCGAGGGCCCTCATAACGCTGCTTGCAGCTTTAATTATTATTATTATTATTATTATTACTATTATTATTATTACTATTATTATTATTATTGTTGTTGTTGTTGTTGATTCTGCTTTTGCTTTTCTCCTCCAAAACTGCTTTAAAATAATTTCCTGCAATTAAAGTCGAAGTTGTGGACATTCACTTTTTAAACCCACTGTTAAATAGTAAAAGGATAACTCTGAGCATTCAGTTAGTTTAGTGCAAATAGCACTTACAGGTTGCTCCCGTCTTTTAAATTAACAGTCCCTTGGGATTAACTGTCCAGACCTCGAAAAACTAGCCCTGATTAAAAAGCATGACATAGAGGGGAGCTGCCACGACAGGTGTGACTTATGTGATTTGTTCTGCAAGGCTACTCAGGTTTTTTCATATGAAGCAGAGAAGACACTTGGATATAAAGACTCACCCACACATCGGCTCCATCTAAACTGTGCATTATCAACTGGATAACACACATTTAGAGATTAGAGATCAGAACTTTTTCAACAGATAGCCAAAGCAGACTTACTGTGAAAGGGTTGTGGGCTCTAGAGAGCAACATTTAGCTCCCAGCATGTTTGGATACTGAATATCAACATCGTCATTCTGATGTGTTTTAAGAGAAACCGTGTTTGGACCTTGAATATCTTTAGATTTCTGGGTATGTATGGGGCCTAACACCCAGCTTAGCCCAGAGATCTTTTGAAAAGGAAGACATGAAAAAAATGGGCAGAAATCAGCTACAGCTAGAAGGGCCAGCTCTGTTCTAGGATGCCCTCTGGACCCAGTGGAGGTGGTGAGTGACAGGAGAATGGCGGCTAAGCTGTCATCCCTGTTGGACAACGTCTCCCACCCCATGCAGCAGACTGTGACAGCACTGAGCAGCTCCTTCAGTGGGAGACTGCGGCACCCACGGTGTGGGACGGAGAGATTTCGCAGGTCTTTCCTCCCCACTGCTGTCAGACTCCACAACAAAGACTTTAACTGAACAAACACACACATCCACACATGTGCAATAACACTAAGTGCAATAATCTTTTCTGGCATCGTTGTATTTTTACTCAGTTGTATATAGCATTCGTATTCTATTTTTATCTTATTGTATATTTTTATTCTATTTTATTCTACTGTATATAGTATATTATTTTATTCTATTCTGTACAGCTGTGTACTGTATTGTATTCTAATTTTTGCGTCATAACTTTTGCACTGTCCACTTCCTGCTGTGACAAAACAAATTTCCCACGTGTGGGACTAATAAAGGTTATCTTATCTTATCTTAGGACAAGTGACTGGCAAAATAAAACAGGAAGTGCACAAACACTGACAAGAACACACAGGCTTGAAGCTGAAACAGGGATAAGCAAATATTGAAGCATAATGACTGACTGGGGAAGACAAAGGATGAAACAAGGAGAGGAGCATGGAAACAGGTAAGGGAGACGAAACACAGAGACTAAGACATGGAGGGAGAGAGCGAGAGACACAGAGAGAGACACAAATAGGAAAACAATGGGCCATATCCATCCAATTAGATGGATATCGAATTAACAGAGATATGAGTGGTTAAACATATGCACAGGACATGGCAGAGTCTCACAAGGTGAGACAGGCAAGAAATCATGAACCAGAAATATAAATAAACTCAGAGTCAGAAAAGGAACTAAACTCAAAGACCCATAAACGCTGTAACCAGAAGTGACACCTAGAAGGATGGCTTTCTAAGAAGAGGCGATGTTGCAAGAGATTCTGATTACTCTCAAGCAAGCAGTGCCATTGATGTTCAAATAATTTGATTATTAAAAATTCTCAATACAAATTAATTGCTTCAATGCTTATTTTATTGCACGAGTCTGTTATCTTCTTAATGTGTTAAAAGAAGTGAACGTGGAGGAAGATCTCAGCCTGGATGTTTATTGTCTTATGTAGTCTGGAAGATGACTGGATGGTGGGGTGGGTGCAGTTTTCTCTGTGATGGGGTTGGGTGGACTGTCCCGGGAGTAGGGGTATGTCACCAGGGTGCAGAGGATACACCAGGGTGCAGGGCACGATACACGGAATCCAAAGTACCATCAGGGTGTACACCCCACCCCTGGCGTCGTTGCCCACCTCTCAAGTTAAATACACGTAGACATTGAGGGCCAGCAGGAGGGACCATGCGCTTACCTGCTGCTCTCTGGCAGGTAGCTCCATGCCCTCCTGGGTTTTAAATGCACCTTAGAACACACATGCATCAACACTACAATGAGCGGGTGGAGGGAGGTTTGGAGTCTTCTCTCACCCCCATTCTCTGCGACCTGCTGGAGCGGGGGGGCTAGGAGGAGGAGTTGGCCGTCCGACTGCGGTCTGGAGTGTGGGGCCTCCCTGCTGCTGCGGAGTCGGGGCGGTCTGCCTCCCCCCACCGCAGGGAAAAGGGTAACACCACCTGGGTCTGGGTGCAGTTCCCCCCTCCAGGGGCAAGGGTACCTAGACCCGGTTTGTAGAGTACGCTTGGGGAGTGTGATCGTGTGTACAGCGTCTCTTTATGTCTGTCTCCACGTTGGTTGAGTGTGGAGTAAGTGTATATGAGAGCATGAGGGTGGGAATGGATGTTTGTATTGTGTGTGCCTGTATTTCTGTGTCTATATGTCAGGTTGGGTGTCAGCGCCACCTCTCTGGGGACATCTCAGGCCCTCCAAGGTTTGGAGGCCTATCTCCCCCTACCACCACTTCCCCTGCCAGTGGCGGACTCCCTCAGACATCGGTGCGTTGGTGGTTCTTTGTGTCCGGGGATGGGCGTCCAGGTACACACCGGCTCACTCCTTGGCGGCCGCTTATCGGGGCCTGGAGCCTGGGGCTCGCTCGGGCCACTTCGGAGGTGGGGTGCCCCCGGCCTCTCGGCCTGGGGCTCGGTCACTCAGGCACGGCTGGCTGCCGGCGGAGCTCACGGGCGCGTCACTGCAACTCCCCCTGGCTTCTGCTCCGCGGCTGCTGAGTGAGCCCTCATCTGGGACTCTCCTCAGCTCTTTCTGGGACAGTGGCGCGCTGCCCCTCTGTTGGTCTTCCTTGGTCTCTTGTGTTCTGGGGGCCTCTGGATGTCTGGAGTTTTGATCTCCTCCATACCTCGCTTCACACCCTGGAGGACGGGGCTGTGGCCCCCCACACTCCCTAGCAGAATTACATAGAAACCTTTATGGATCATCCACACGGTAGCACACAGGTACCTGGTATTGAGGAAAGTGGCTGCTCAAAGCCACTTGGCTGTATTGGCTCCAACTTTATTCAGTAACTATTGATATATAGCTAGTAGATGGTTTGTTCTATTATGCTCAGGATCCACAGTTGCACACATGGGTATTCACAGACGCGGACTAAAGCTTTCTTGGCTGCTGCCTCAAAGCACACTGTGCGCTGTCTATCTTGCGTGCTGCACAATATCGTTTATTATTTAGTAACTATTGATATCTATGACTAGCTAGTTTATTGTGATGGTGCTTTGTTTTCTCTATTATTATGTTGCTCTTTGTTGTTTGCTGTCTCCTCTGTTTGTTTTTTTTGTTTGTTTTTTTTTTCTCCATACAGGTGACCCAGGAGTTGTTTTTTTTCTTTCTTCTTCCCCCCCTTCTCACCGTCTCTTCTCCCCTTTGGTTCTTCCTCTTTTCTATTCTCCCTGTCATTAAAAAATCAGTCTGAACTCTGCCATACTAATGTCGCTCTGCTGTTCTTTCATTAAAAAAAAAAAACAAAAAGCCGCGTGTACTTCCTGAGGCAGCTGAAGAAATTCAACCTGCCAACACGGACGATGATGCAGTTCTACACGCAATCATCGAGTCCATCCTCACCTCCTCCATCACCGTGTGGTACGCTGGAGCCACTATCAGGGACAAACAGAGACTGCAGCGTGTTGTGCGCTCTGCTGAGAAGGTGATTGGCTGCAGACTCCCATCTCTGCAGGACCTGTACACCTCCAGGACACTGGGGCGTGCAGCTCGGATCACAGCTGACCCTTCTCACCCTGGACACAGTCTGTTTGACCTGCTCCCCTCAGGCAGGAGGCTCCGGTCCATTCGCACCAGAACCTCTCGCCATAAGAACAGTTTCTTCCCCTCTGCTGTTGGACACATGAACAATAACCATATGACTGTTCCCACCACTAACACATGACCCTACGCTGTGTTCACTGCATCATTCCATGTTTGGCACTGATCACCACCTGCACTCATGTATATATCTATCTACTTAGCACTTTTAATTCTTATCTTTTATGTCTATTTAAGCGCTATATGACAGTATGTTTGCACTAAGTACCGCAGCAATTTCCTAATGTTGTAAACCTGCTCAACATCTGGCAATAAAACCCTTTCTGATTTCTGATTCTAATTCAGAGACAGACTGTGTTATACGAGCACTTACTGAGAAGATACCCCACAATCCAGTGTATGGGGATCTGCGGTTTTGCTGATTGTTTTGATAATATATGCGGTACAAACATGATGTAACATTCAATTAACTGTCATTTGACTTTAATTACTATTTTCACTGGCGTATGGAAATTGAAAGCTGTTGGATTAACTGTTGCTGCTTTCCAGTCCGTCAGCCTCCTCTCTGTCATAGTCTTCTCCATATTCGTGTGGATTTGGTGAGCAAATCTGTTACATTATTAAAGTTCAATTTCAGAAATAATAAATGTTATAGATTTAGTGATCACCAATTGTCCTAACCAGGAAAAGGAGGAATTTCAGGGAATCATCTGAGAAGATGACTGAAGACATAGCAGACAACAGAGAACAGGTGAAAACAGTCATATAATTGCTATGCTACACAACAACAATTTGGTTTAGAGAAATAATTCATGCTCCTGTCTTTAATGTAAATACATTTTTATTGTGGAACAGTGGTGAGCACTTTTGTATCACAGCAAGAAGGTCTTGGGTTTGAATCCACCATCTGGTTGGGGGCTTTCTTTGTGGAGTTTGCCTGTTCTCGCAGTGTCTTTGTGGGTTCTCTCCAGGTACTCTGGATTCCTCCCACAGTCCAAAGACATGAGGTTCTGGGGTTTGGGTTAACTGGTAATTCTAAAATTTCCCATAGGTGT